TCTGCTCGTCCCTATCTCCTGAGTGGACAGGAGAACAGCACCTGTCACCGGGTGTCCTTCCCAACCACCCAGACCCAGGTCTCACGCTTCCTCAAGTTCAGTGGGGACGAGACCATAGATGGCCCTTGGCGGGGAGGGTCGGGAGGAGGGCCAGGCCAGTTCCGGGGCGCGAGTAGAATTTTGAGCAGGGAGCCGGTGTGAGGCAGGGGTGAGGAGCATGACCTCTGGGGTTCCCCTCTCCAAACCCGTTAGTTGTCCCCAGCAGCAGGTAACAGCTTGGGTAAATTTCGTCTCTCTCTCCTGCTCCAAAATGGACACAGGCCTGCGACCCCTTACCTGAAACTGGTGAGACCAGCCTTCCGAATGGTGATACTGTCGAAAGACACAATGATGGGTGCTGAATATTAGCCACCCCCCTCCCCCCCAGCAGTGCCTGGGTCAGTCCCTGCAGTCAAACCCATTGATGTGTCCGCAGGAAAACAGACAAACGGTCCCACCCAATAAAAAATAAGGACCACCAACAGCCTAGGTCAGAACGGTTTTGCTTCTAAATGAGTTTAGAATATTTTTAACCTCATTTTGCCACCAAATAAGGAATGGAAAGCCCTGTGGTTTCTCAGAACATTCTGGACTTTGGACTCGAAGAGAGAGCTCAGGATCTGCATCTTCTGGCCCTTAGGGTGCTTACAAGTTGAACGAGAGCTGGTGCGTGGCCAGCAGCCGCTAGGGGCTGGCTCCTAGCAAGTGCTCTATAAATGCAGTCATTGTATGTGATTTGGGGGACGCCTGGCTGGCTCAGTCAGTAGAGCATGCAACTCTTGATCTCAGGGTTGGGAGTTCAGACCCCGTGTTGGGCATGGAGCCTACTTAAAAAGAATAAATAAATAAATAAATGCAAATAAAAATAAATAAAAAAAACAGTGCTAGGAGGCATTGCATGGCATACTCATTCAGTCAGCTGTATCCACCTACACCTGCTCTGTGGCAATATAGCAGGACAGACAGATTCTCCTGGGGATTCCCTTTCCATCCCTCTCTCAGCTAACAGGTGCCACGGGTGTGAGAAGGGAAGGGACCGCCATGAGGAAGGGTGGGCAAAAGCTGGTTCTTAAAGGTCTGGTGTGTCCTCAACTTTGATGCCCAGGATAAGATGGGAGAAGGGGACCATCAGGGAGGGAAGGCGGGACAGAAGCCAGGGGAGAGGTGTGCAGACAGGACTTCCAGGCCACCAGCCTCACATGCCCTTCTTTTCCTAACTCCAGGCTTCCAAGCTGAAGGCCAGGCTGACCCTGATGGAGGGGTGGCTGCAGGGGTCCGACTGTAGTGAGCCCTGGGGACCACTGCACATTCTGCAGGGAGAGGCCCCACGGGGAGACGTCTACCAGGGACGTCTGCTGCAAGGTGAGCAGGCAACGGGATGGCTGGCTGATCAGACACCCCCTTTGGAGACCTTCATTCTGGTCTCAGGATGCTTTGAAGGCTCTGAGCTCCGTCCTAGAAGAACTCACTTCCTGGGAGAGCCTGTCCTCCCCAACTAAGTGGGCTCCTCCCATGACACAGCCTTGTCCCCACCCCAGGCCTTTCCTTCAATGTCCCCAACTCAGTTGTACTTTGTAACTCTATTAGTCTCTGACTATAACATCTATCCCCTGTGTCCCACCGGACTGTAAGCTGGGTGAGGACAGGAGTTGGGTTAGCTCATTAGTTCAGTCAAGCAACAAATAATCATTGAGGTGCTGTCCCGGGTGCTGAACAGGTAACATTTCTGCTGTCTTGACGGTTGGCCATTTTGCTCATTCCCCAGTATAGAATAGAAATAAACAAGCACGTGAGAAAAAAACAAAAACAAAAAAAACCTGTTATTAGAGCCAGGTGGAATTTGGCCTTGGGACACCGCAATTTATGAAGTATTGAAAATGAATTGACTCTTCTGTATAATTTCATGTTCATAAGCATTTATGCTCCTTTAGCAGTCAGGCATAGATAAGCTGAGCACTTGTTAGCAAGACTAATGATCAGAACAGAGAGCTTCCAGATGCTGTGTGTTAAAACGACCATACCGACCCACACTGCAGATCACAGAGCTGACTCAAGGTGGGGACATTTCTGCTGTCTCAGATTCAGGAATTGCTTGTTGTGGCTCTAGCAGACCTGAGTTCCTTCCAGTCCCTCATCTGTGGCGGACTTCCTACGTGGGAAGCCTTGGGTCGTGATTTGCCTTCTCGGGGCCTCAGTCTTGGCATTTGTAAAATGAGAAGGCTCTTCCCTTGGAGCTGACTGGTAGTGGTTGGTGCTCAAGTCTGGTGACAGAGCTAAGCTGTGCCCAGGCAGAGTCCAGGCACAGATGGGGGCCCCCGAAGGTGGGTGCTTTGTGGTAAAGCATCAACTGCTCTGTGACCCTGGACTCATGCAGGAGCCCGGGAAGGCTTCCTGGAGCAGGTGACAGGCCTCGAAGGTGCTGTGAAGGCTGCCCGGGAGCAGCTGCGCACGCTGAGCAGGAGTGTCCACTGTGCCTGGGCCGGAACAGAGAAGACCTGCATCCAGCTGGCGGACCTAGATGCAGCGCTGGAGTCCTCGGAGGAGGAGATTCTGCAGGCGGCCCTTGTCCTCAGATCTCTGGTACCACGTCCTGGGCCCACCTGGCGACCTAGTGGCTGGGCTGTGCCTCTTTGGAGAGTCTCCATTTCATCTGCGGAATGGGGGAGGGGGGTCACACAGCACCCCTTCTGCTGATTAGTGGCATAATGTCTGCCTAGAACAAGGCATGTTCCAGGGGGAGAGTGAATGTCCATCGAATGAATGGTGGGTGTCATTACTGCTGTTTCTACGTTCTGGGATCTGCTCACCGGGTGCTGACTTTGAGACTACCTTTGAGCGTATATAAAATGACTGGCACAATTTAGTTCTGCCCAGGAATTTAGCCAAATGGGGCCCTTGCTCTTCAAGGATGGCCATCAGCTTCCTCCCCTCTCCATTTCTTCTCTAAAGGTGATTCCTCAGGAAGGGTCCAGCCAGCCCACCACCTGGAGCCACCTGGCCACCGAGGCCCGTGCCCTTGCCAGGAGGTGAGGCCCCAGGCCCCGGGAGCCTGGTGAGGTCTTGCCCACACAGTCTGGAAGGGAGCCCAGTCCTTCTCGGGGGCGGAGGGGCGGGTTCCCAGATCAGGATCAGCTGCACAGATGCCCCTCTGCCTGGATTCAAACCCAGGCCGTCCTGACCACTCTCTTCTGTGGTGTCTTTATGAGGGTGACCATATCATTATTGTCCAAACTGAGATTTTTTTGTGTGATAAGAGGCCCTAATGATCATTATGCCAGGACAACAGGCATAAACTCAATGTAACGGGCACGGGGGCATGGGTGGGTCCCTTCCCTGGGAGGGTCCCTTCCCATCAGCCTTTGTTGTGCATCCAGCAGAGGGAGAAGAAGAACTTGGCCTTTGGGGCTGGACTTTGGGATGATGGGAGTCCCACATGCTGGGAGGTGTGGATTTGGGTGCAGGCCCCCTTCTGCATGGGCTCCTGGTGACAGTCAAATGGGCATTTCCATACAGCCACAGGGACACCACTGCCAAGATTGAGGCCACTGCGCGGAGGGCCCTGGTCGCCTCCAACACCAGTTATGCGCTTCTCTGGAGTCTGGTGGAGGGCAGAGTGGCCCTGGAGGCCCAGCAGGAACTGGAGGACAGGTGAGGCCTCCCGGGTGTGGGTGGAAGCTTGAGTTGGCCTCCTGCAGCTGACGGGGCCTGGCTGGAGGCTGCTGGTTCCAGAATTGGCTTCCGTCCCAAGTCCTGACGCCCTCTGGGTGGATGGGTGGGGATGTCTGGGTGGTACCTTACAAGAACACATTTATGCCTGGGGGTTAAGCTCAGCCTCTGGAGAGAAGGGGTGAGAACTTGAACCAGGAGGGTCCGGAGCAGCACCTCTCTCTTTCTTGCCCCTGCAGCGTCCCCCAGCCCCACCCCAGACCCCACAGGCAGCTCCTTTCAGGCACCAGCTTCCTTCTTGGCCTCTGCTTCTCTCCTCTGGGTGACCCTCTTATATCCTCCTCAGTCAAAGGGTCAAGAGAGACCCAGCAAGGCCTCACTAAGTCCCGAGTTGACTTCCTAGATGAGAGAATGTGATTAGCCCAGCTCAGATCAGGTGCCCAGCCCTGAGCCCACTGGCAGGGGGTAGGGTGGGTGAGGTCACATGACCCACTCCCTGGGCAGGGGTGGGAGCACAGGCTCTCTGAGAAGTGGGGAAGGGATGAGAGACATAAGGGGGGGTCTGTGTCCCAGCTGTGCTCACTGTGGACTGGGCGGAGAGGGGAGGGTGTGGGTAGCTGGAGGGGACAGGAAACCTGTTCTAGGTGGTTAACTACAGCACCTTGAAGCTAAGGGTCTTCAGAGCCCAGGGCTATCCATTTATCTGGAGAGCCACACGCCCAAGGTCACCCCAGGGCAAGGCGGAGGCCTGGGCTGCTGTCCCTTCTCCAACACTAGGCATTTTCCTCTTCGTGATGCAGCCAGAGGCTCCAAATATTTGCAAAACATATGATTCTCGAGTGGAAACCAAGCTCAAGCCCCTTCAGAAGAGAGCGTTTGAATTGAATGAGTGAAGAAACAATGTGGTGCCTCTGCTGCCTTTTCCATTCATTCGAAAGCTGCGGAGTTAGCGGCTGAGTTAGCGGCCAGTCTCGGGGCCAGCTGCTGGGTGCCAACCCTGCAGAGGGCAGGTCTGCCTGGGAGGTTGCCAGAGGGCTCCTGTGGGGGTGGGGGGGGACATCCACAGGGAAGGAGAGCCCCGTGCCCTGCCCTGTGAGCCACCTTTGCTGTCTCCTCTCAGGTACCAGGAGGTCCAGGCCGCCCAGAAGGCGCTGGGCACGGCTGCCGCAGAGGTGCTGCCCGAAGCTGGGAGGGCGCTGGCCGCCGCGCAGCAAGCTGATGTGGATGCAGCCCTGTGCCCGGCCTCGCTGGCCGCCCCTGCAGCACTGGTCAGCCCCGCCGTCCTTGGAGCTCTGCATGGGGCGGGGGGCGGAGAATGTGGCAGCTGGGAAACCAGTGTGGCCCAGGCAGAGGCAGACGATGTGGCTTATTTTTAACTATATGGCAGTCGATGAACACGAGATAATCCACCTCCCTGGCTTGGCAGAGCACCTGCCTGGCACAGTTAGAGCTCGGCCGGTCTTTGTTGTTGATTGTGGTAATAATAGCAAGGGCAGGTGTCTTCTCCATAGTGGCATTAGCAAAGGCACCAGACGGACATGGGATCAAATCCCCAGCGCCACTGCTCCAGATCTGTGCCCTTGGCCAAGGTCACTTTCCCTCCCGGCACCCTCAGTTCATTCCTCTGCGAGATAGAGCTCACCCCTAAGGTAATTTTAGGGCTGCGTCCATGGGGGCCGGGAGCGGATTCACGCACAGTATGCAAAGTGGCCCTCGGCACCTCCGGACAAATCAGCTCCATTGTATCTCCCCAGTGATCCTGAAACCCCAAAACTCAGAAACTGCGCTTTAAGAAAGAGACTAAGCTTATACAAATGCCCTGGGGGCCAAACCTGCCTGGCCCGAAGCTGCATATTTGGGGTCCTCGCTTCCCTCACCCCAAACGTGAAGAGTAACATGCACGTTTTAAGGGGTTTGGCCCTGAACGTGGCCCCGGATGCCACCAAAGGTGTTAGATGATATTCAGCACCTCCACGGCTCTGCTTCTCTCAAGTCGGGAAAATTCTGAATTTGGAAATACGTCTGGCCCCAAAGTTTCAGCGGAGGTTGTGGACTTGGGGAAGGAAATGAAGGTCAGGGAGGCCTGGCTCCTAGTAGTGGGTAGGGCTGGAGTCTGAGACAGGTTCTCCAGCCTGGTGTCTCCCGCCCTGGCTCCCCTTCTTCCTGGGGTCCACAGGCAGCCCTATCCCCGCCATTCCTGTCCCTGGGCGCCTCCCACCCGGTAGAGGATCTGCCCCACGGACCTTCCTGCCAGGCCCTGCCTGAGTCCATCATCTCCCTGCAGAAGTCCGAGGCCGGGGCCCTGGGCCTGAAGGCACAGGCCCTGGAGAAGACAGTTGCATCTAGAGAGCGTGTGGTCACCGAGGCTGCCGGGGTCCTCCAGGCCACCGCCCAGGCCGTGCTGCGGAAGACCGAGCCCCTCACACAGGTGGGCTCATGTCCTTTGAGGCAGGCACCTGGCCGGGCTGCCCCACGGGTGTCCTGGGGTGGGTGGTCCAGGAGAGGGAAAGGCAAAGACCCGAAATAGTTCCTCCCATCCCTCCGGTGTCTCCCACCTGCCGAGCCTCTCTCTTCTCTCTCCAGCTACGCCAGCAGGCCAGAGCTGCCCTGACCCGGGCTTCCTCATCCGTCCAGGCTGCCACGGTCACTGTCACGGGAGCCAGGACCCTGCTGGCCGACCTGGAGGGTATGCGTGCCTTGCCGAGCCCTGGGCTTCTTGAAGCATGTTTGCCCGTGACAGCCACCTGGACTCTTGCCTCAGCCGGGGCAGCCGGGCCACAGGAGACAGAAGTCCAGTTGCGTGGGCATAAGCCAAGCAGCACTTCCCCCCACCCCCGGCCGGGACCCCTCCCGGGGCTGCTTGACGTGGCCTCACACACCTCTCACCGGGTACTCACCCACACGGCTGTCAGCCATCAGACCACACACGGAGCCCGTCGGGGCCGAATCCGATGCCATCGACTATCCCTTCCTGGTCTCATCTGCCCTGGCCGGGGGTCCTGCCACCTGGTACAAACGGCTGCCACCGTCCAGGGTTCAGCTGGGGCTGCAGGGAGGGAGGCAGAGTTCTCTTTAGGAAGGGGGTGTGGGTCGATGCCAGTCCAGGTTTCCTTTGCGCTTTAGCAAAATGAGGCTTAAGTGGTCGCATTTCACAGATGTGTAGACCAAGGGAAGGGATTGGTGGTAACTGTCCCTGGGTCAGAGAGGTGCTAAATGGAAACCGTCCAGTGTTAGGATTCCCCAGCTCCGTGTCCCCCTGTGGCATAGGCTTCTCTGATGTCCTCTTTGCCCTTTATCCGTGGCTCTGCACCAACGAGCTGGATAAAACAGGAACACGCTCAGCGCCAGAGGCCCCTTGGGGTCTGAGACCGGAAGCCGGGCCCTGCTTGATCCCGGTTCTACAGACTTCCTTCCCGACCCTCCCCACTGCCTCTGAGAGATGTGGCTCCAGCCAGGGGCCCCTAGCCTCTGGGACAGAGGGTGAGCTGGTCAGTGCTTCCTATTGTCTAGGCTCCTCTGTGGCTCCTCTGTGGTCTGAAGTCTTGCTCACTCACCGGTCGGGGGCTTCCGATGGGGAAGGCGTGGCCCTGTGCACTTGGCTCTGAGTTGTGTTTAGGAAAACGTAAATCCAATGATACGTGGTGGTGGAATATTCGGATTTGGGGACATTAAAATGATCAGGGTTGCTAAAGCAACCCCTTCAGGGGGCAGGGGACTCCCGCACCCTCTGCTTGCCTACCTCCAGTGATTGTGTGCTCACTACCTCACAGGGCATCACCTTCTCACTGTTGGATATACTGCATGGAAATTTGCCTCCCTGGTGCAGTACTATGATCCACACAAGGACTCATCGCAAACCTTTAACCCCAGGTTCTTTCCCCCCTTCCTTCCCCTTTTCCGAGACACCCTCTGTCACTACCCGTTGGCCTGTGCCCAGGTGGCATTCAGGATGAAAGGAAAGTTCACGGGGTGAATTAGCCCAAGACATGATCTATCAAGAGTGGGTTTGTGTTCAAATAAGTTTAGGAAATGTCACTACTATGGCGCCTTCTTGAGGCCATACAGTGTGCCCCCATTAAAGGCTCTGAGAAGTCCTGCATTAAAGAAAACTGGTTCTTTTTATGTAAGCTTAATTGATGTTTTCTACTGACGTTTGTTAATACCCCCATAAAGTTAGTTCTCCGTGGAGTGTGTTTTAAGTAACACCCAATTTTGTGTACGAGAAGCAAAGTCGATCCTATTTCTGGATTATCTTCAGAAAAAGGATGTGGTATTCTGCCTTAGAAGGCTTGATTGTTTCAAAAATTTGACTATAATCAGTATTCCTGATTTCCCTTAGAATTTTATCTGAAAGGAAGGGAGAAAGTCTCTCTTCTTTACAGAGGGAAACTACTTCTGATTAGATAATAAAGCCTATGCACATTGTAATACCTGTCTTTTTATCTTGGCTGCTAGGAAGCTCAGAGGTAAATAGAGCATTCACTGCCTGCCACGTCCTTAGCCTAATTTTCTGGCACTTCTCACCCCTCTTTTTCCCTTCCTCATCCCCCCAATTACATATGGCCCTTGGTTTTTCATTTTAGCGGTCCAGTCGTTGACTTACCTATCACTGTAAGTTGCCTAAAGCCCTTTTAGAAACCGATGAGACACAAAAACAAAGAGCTGAGTGGATTTGCTGGGTCCTGTGCTGTGACTCCCCATCGGCCAAGGGTGACTTCCCAGCCTTGGCCCAGGCACTGAACACCGTGTGGTTTTGTGATTTTATTTTGTATATTCATTTTTATCTACTTGTTAACGTTTCTTTATTTTTGAGAGCGTGTGCGTGGGGGAGGGGCGAGAGAGAGGAGGACAGAGGATCCGAAGCCGGCTCTGTGCTGACAGCAGCGAGCCCGATGTGGGGCTCGAACTCACGACCCGTGAGCCAAAGTCGGACGCTCAACCCACTGAGCCACGCAGGTGCCCCGTGTACTTTTGTGATTATAATAAATTTCACGATATAATGCGAATCTTTACATTCACCGAGCAGTATGCGTCGCTGATGATTCGTTTGTTCCCCAGACGAGCCTGAGAAGGTTACACGTGTGTCTCCTGCGTCTCGAACCTCCGCTCACGTCGTCTGAGGGTCGGGCGTCTGGTGGTGACTGGCCCTCGAGGGTCATGAGCCAAGAGCCCGCCCCGCTGACCCAGCCTGTCCCGGGTTTGCAGGAATGAAGCAGCAGCTTCCTTCGCCCAAGGACCGGGCCACGCTGGGGAGGAAGGCAGGTGTGGTCAGGGGCAGGCTCCTTCCAGACTTGAAAAAGAAGACCAAGCAGGCGGAGAGGATGCTGGGAAATGCGGCGTCTGTCTCCTCCAGTGCCAAGAAGAAGGGCCGTGAAGCCAAGACGTTGGCTGAGGACAGTGCTAAGGTCAGGGCCACCGATGTGACAGCGGTGACGTCCCTGCCTCCTGGGCCTGTGGGTGGGCTATCCTACAAGGGCTGCCCTTGTGTAGGTTAAACGTAGTCCCTACAGATCTGCCCCGTTCCGTGTACACAGTGCTGAATGCTCCACACTTCCTGAGGGCTCAGTGGTTCCCAGGCTCTGAGCCCTGGAGCGTCATTCAAGCTGTTGAGTCCTTGACAAACAGGTGTCACTGTTGTCCCTGTCGGACAGGTGGGGACCCTGAGTACCAGCCCGGTGTAGGAACTTAAATCACGCGACCAGGAACCTCACCTAGATCTGCTGGGCTTTGCTCCCCAAACTTCTAGGCTCTTGCTTTTGAACCGGGGCCGAAGTCTAGCCCAGGTGCCTCCCCCAGCCCCCACTGACTTTGTGCGTGTAGCCGGCACCCGGGACACGCTTGTGGAATGAATGAACGATCTGGTGCGCGATTCGATGACTGCTTGGCTTTACTGTTGGACGTGCTCCTTACCTCTGAAAGGACTTACTCCACTCCCCCTCTTCTCCCTGCCTCTGCTGCCCACCCCCCAGCTCGCCAGGGCCTTGCTGAGGGACGGGAAGCAGGAGCATCGCCGGGCAGGCCGGCTGTCCAGCCAGGCGCAGGCGACGCTCCGACAGGCCTCGCGGCAGGTGCTAGCCTCACAAACCCGCCGACAGGAGCTGGAGGAAGCTGAGCAGGTACGTGGGCCCAGACCCCCCCCC